CATTGTTGTTTGGCGGGTCCGGGCTGGGGATTCGAACCCGCCACCTTAGGTGTATGTGGCTGGCGCCTTAGCCGGTTGAGCTATAGGCGCCAAGAATGGGTATTTTTAAATAGTTGAAAAAAATCAACAGAATATTACATGACATGTGGAAATTATGAAATCCAAATGTCAGTGTCCATAAGTGAAGCCTGACTGAGATGCAGACAGAGTGTTCCTTTCTGGTTGCTTTTGGGCTACAGTGGTAGGATCAGAGAGCCCAACGGAGAACTTTTGGTCCAAAGAGTCTCAACCTTTACACTCTATGTCTTGACAGGGAGAGTTGCCAACCCTGATACTGAAGGCCCTGTGAGGACCTGGCATTCACCTTAATTAAAAGCTATGTCAGGCTCAGTGCCCGTAGAACAGTGATTAGGGCACCAGCCCCATGCACTGGGGCTAGTGGGTTAAAACCCAGCCCAAGCCTCCTAAACAATAATGACAACTGCAACAACAAAAAAATAGCTGGGCATTGTGGTGGGCACCTGTAGTCCCAGCTACTTGGGAGGCTGAGGCAAGAGAACAGCTTAAGCCCAAGAGTTTGAGGTTGCAGTAAGCTGTGTGACACCATGGCAGTCTATTGAGGGCAACATAGTGAGACTTTGTCTCAAAAAAAAAAACAAAAAAAAAAACTAAGCTATTAAAGGAACATTGATGCTCAAGTTCCATCATTCTGTAAGTGTTTGATAAGGGTCCATTGTCCAAACTAGGAGAGATTGGTGGGCACAATGGCTTATGCCTGTAGTCCTAACATTGTCAGAGACTGAGGTGGGTGGATTGCTTGACCTCATGAATTCCAGACCAGCCTGAGCAAGAGCCAGACCCCCATCTCTACTAAAAATAGTACAATTAGCCGGGTGTTATAAGATGGTGCCTATAGTCCCAGATACTTGAGAGGCTGAAACAAGAGGATTGTTGAAGCCCAAGAGTTTGAGGTTGCTGTGAGCTATGATCCCACAGCACTCTACCCAGGGTGACAGATTGAGACTTTGTCTCTAAACAAAACAAAACAAAACAAAAAAAGAAAACAAGGAGAGATCTCTATTTGAGCAAATGTTAATAACACTTGCTCAAACTCTGGGATTGGGAGAGGTTAATTCTCACCAAATGTCTTCTGAGTTCACAGGCACAGTTTCTGCCTGTGATAATAATAGCTGCTGTCATACTTTGAGTGCTAGCCTGCGCCAGTAATGCTTTACTTGCACCATCTCTTTTAATCCTCACAACCACCCCAGGAGTTGTTCCAGGAGGAAACTGAGGCTTAAGAGCTTAGCCACACCCAAGGGCACTCAGATATCTATTAAATGGCAGAAGCAGAACAGGAGCCCAGCCAAGTCCAGAGCAGACAGTATGCAAATAAGGCACTCACCTGCTCAGGAGGAGACAGGGCTAGAATAGAGAGCTGAGGTTGGGGGAGGTTCCTTATCAGAAGTAAGGAACCAGGGCAGCCAGCCAGGCCCTGTCTCAAGCATACAGGATGCTTTTCTCAAAGGATCATAATGTACTTTTTGGTGTTCAGTTTTTTAAGAGATGGGAGGCTCTGTGTGTTGCCCAGATGGAATACAGTGGCACAATCATAGCTCACTGCAGCCTCAAACTCCTGTCCTCAAAAAATCCTCCTCCATTAGCCTCCCAAAGTGCTAAGATTACAGGCATGAGCTATGATGCTTGACAGTGGTCGTGACACTCAAAGTGTCTATGTCACTTTCTGTCATCACTGCGGGGACTCGCACCCTCACATCCTACCTCCTCTCTACCTATATGGCCAGCAGACTGGGCCTGCCCCAATGGGAGGTGAAGAGGCCTTTGGGGGCCTGAAAGGGACACATTGGCTGTGCCTTACCTTTGTCAAATAAGATGAGAAACAACAAAACAAAACCACCTACAGAGAAAGAGGAACCCACAGTCAGAAGGGTCCCCATGGCCAGGCTGGGCTGGGAGTGGGGTGAGAATACTGTTCATACTCATCCTGCTGTCCATGACTATTCTGGACACCTAGATCGACATCCATGGCTAGTGTGGCCACCTCCCGCTACTCTGATACAAAGATGCTGGAAGCTGGAACAGCTCAGGCCTGCATGGCACAGTGTTCCCAGCTCACTACCCAGCCATAGGGAGTCTGACTCTTTACTGGTCAGTTCTGCTAGGACAACTGTTATGGCATATGTGGTCGATCAGAACAAAATCTAAGGGTGCCAGACTGAATGAAAGAAGCGCTTGATCAGTGTCCAGACTGCATCCAATTCTGAGTTATGTTTTGAAGGGAATAAGTCATTTGAGAGTTTCCTGTTCACTAATATGTCCCCATGAACTTTTTAACTGGCTTGATAATATATTTCCTACGCCCTTAGCAGCTGTAAAATTGATTCATAGAGCTGTTTGTCTTTTTGTGCTTTTTAAAAAGAACAAAATGTAAACTAGGTTGCAAAGCCCTGGTGACATGATCTGACAAGCTGGTGCCTGCAGTACCCTGGCCCATGCTGGCTGCCCCAAGGTCACAGTGACACAGCCTGGTTTGGGTAGACAGTTCCATTCCATGTTCTAGGGTGCTCCAAGAACTCTGATGGTGTCAGATTTCCACCTGAATGCTGTGTAGTGGGTAGTGCTTTGCACGTGATTAAGGATGCTGTTGCTATTCTTTTTCTCTATATAGACTGCCCCTTAGGAGAAAGGTCCTTTAAGTGGATCAGAAATGTTACCTCAGATACTAGTTTCCCTGGGGAAGAACCTGGTTTGGGGGGAGGGCATGTTGGATTGAACACACCAGAGAATAACATTTGGCACATTTGCCTAAATGAGACCTCAGAGCTGATGATAAGTGTCTAAAATCAAACCATAACTTTCATCTCTTCACACTACAATGCTATGCTATTTTCAATGCTAAGATACCACTGTACACTGAATTAGTAATGTACCCTATATGTCCCTGAAGCTGAGAAACTGGCCCCTATTTTTGCCTACTACATGTTTTGAAGCCCAGTGGAGTGTGAGGTGGCAGCTCCAGCACGCTGGCTGGTGTGGTGTGAGGCAGACTCTGGCCTCAGGGGTGGTTCTGCTGTGTGGTTTTGCCAGGTGCAGCAGTCAGGGGCTGGGGCTGCTTCTGCCTTCTCTCCGGCAGTTGCCACTGGGGTTAAGCATGGCTAGTGATGCTCTTCATAACAGCTGCACACAACTGCTTGGGTGTTTTGCTGGTAGGAAACCACAATCAAGGACTCCTGGGAGCTCTGAGCACATGGCACCCTCACTTGAACCTACCAACAGGCAGGGGTGAATAAGGCACACTAAGGCCGAGGGTCCAGGTGGCACTCCAGGGAAATGGAATACAGCGGGCCACTGATCGTCATTTCCCTGGACCACATACATCCTAAAAAAGGCCTATTGCTGGTTGAGGCTCTCTCTGCCCCTCTTGTGCAGCACTGCCTTGGAGCTGGGTATCCAGCCACCACTTACACCTACCTGCCAGTGTTTTCCTTGCCTACTTTTCTATTCCAGAAACAATGGAATGTTCAACTTTGTAAATTCCGTTGCTTAACAGAAATTTTCTTTTAATGTCTAAATGTTCTAAAGATGAGAGTGGGGCTAGGGAGATGTAGGAAAAGTGGTGCCTCTTGGAAAACACACACACATCCACACACAAAGTCCTCTGAGCTTTAAACATTCCTTACAACTTCAGTGATCATCCTATCCTATCCGGAATCTTCTGAAATGGCTAAGCCAAGAATTTCAGTCGTGAATATTTCTGCAGTGATTTCGTCTGGAAGTTCTTCTTCAAGACAAATTTCTGCACCTAGCCAAACAAGAAAAGAAAACCAAATGCCTTCACAATGATTAGGTTTCTAACTCAAAAGTATTTTCCAAAAACACAAGAAAATGCTACTAAACAAAAGCAAGATACTTTGTATTAATGGTTTAGCTTTGATTTCTTGAAAACGCTTTGATGACTGTAGGGGTGTATAGCATACCCCCTGGGTGAGGGGCTTTACCTTAGAAACAAAAACAATATAATCTAAACATTTGCACCCTCATATTAATCTGGAGAAAAAAAGAAAAAGAAAAATGTTAGGTAGAAATTGGCTAAAATCCCTCCTTTATGGAATGGAGCACTGTCAATCAAAATCTTTGCAAACCTCACTGGAAACTCTTAACCATGCGGTATCAATGATTTTACTATTTCTAGATTCCTAGGAGCATGACATAAATGTGTAATAAGGGGCAAGTTAAATTCTGAGATCTAAGGTACGCAAACCTCATAGGTTGGAAATTACCCATGAGATACTAGAGTCTAGAGCTATCTGAGTTTGGGAAATTTTTTTAATGTGACACAGGAAATGGACAATGAAAGGAGAAGGAGAAGGGAGACTGGTGAGTGCTCTGCTCCGCCCCACCCCAAGCTTCTCAGTGGAGATGCTCTAGCACAGGCAGGCCCAGAAGCAGGCAGCTTGGATTTCTTTTCCTGAACTGAAATTCACAACCCTAACTTCAAGTCCAGGGATGAAGGAAGAAGGTGAAAAATACCTAGGCTGTAGGTACCTAAGGCCAAGAGCTGGAGGTAGCAGGAAGGGAGAGGAGGAGGAGGATCGTTTTTTTTTTTTTTTTTTTTGAGACAGTGTCTCACTATGTTGCCCTGCGTAGAGTACTGTGGCATCATAGCTCATAGCAACCTCAAACTTTTGGGCTTAAGAGATTCTCTTGCCTTAGCCTCCTGAGTAGCTGGGACTACAGGCACCCGCCACAACCCCTGGCTATTTTTCTTTTTTGGTTGCAATTGTCATTGTTGTTTAGCAAGCTTGGGCAGGCTCCAACTGCCAGCCTCGGTGTATGTGGCTGGTGCCCTACTCATTGAGCTACAGGAACTAAGCCAAGGAGGAGGATCTTTAAAGACTTTAAAGTTCAGGCAGCTTAAAGCTGGGCTCAAGCTGCCCCTCTCTGAGTCTCTCTTGGCAAACCTCTTCTGAAATAGCTGAAAACTGTATCCTCTGTTGGTGGCCGATATGCACCCGCCCAAGCTGGAAAGATACACAGTTCAGTGGAATAAAGGGGAAAACAAGGCCAGAAGACACAAAAGAAGAGCAGAGCAAGGGAACAAAAGGCTTCCCTCTCTTAGACATACCTACAGCTCACTGATCTTTTCATAACTTATTCATGTGGGATTCCCAGCAGACTTACTCTGTTGTGTGCATAGTCTTAAGGAGAGCGGCTTGCACCGATCAGGAGAAATAAATGCACTTAAGTTGGCAAATGCGTGTGCCCCGGCTACATGCCCAGACAAAGCCAGCCACAGTACCTTTGAAGGAAGAGGTTGCAGGCTCAGATTTCCACCCTTCAGGATTCAGGCCGAACAGCGTAGCAAAGCAATCAGACATCTCCTCTTCTGTCATGTGCTCACCTGGGTGTTACAAAGTAAAAAGGTGGTTGTTTAGCTCTCGGGGCTAAGCATAATATCAGGGCTTAGGGTTATTACTCAGAGGTCTTAAAGAAAATTATTCTATTATTTCCTTTTATTAGACACAAAAACAATCAAGAGAGTCCCATGATGCTGCTGTATATTCTTCCTTACGTGGTGTTAAAGAGGGTGCTCCAACCAGGGAGAGTATGTGGGGCTTGTACAGAGAAATAAGGCAACTGGCTGATAAGACTGGACTCAGCTTTATTACAAATTCCCTCATTCCTAGTTTGACTGGGATAAAAATGTCATCTAGAGAAAAAGCCTACTTGACTTTCTCACATGAAATAACAAGGAAAAGAGTAAGTAAAAATAAAAAGGTTTACATTGTTGTGGTTTCATTTCCCAAATGCATCCCAATCTTAAGGTACCCCGAGAGACTGATCAATTGGCATTTTTATTCTCATTTCACAAGTGAGGACACTGTGTCTTGCAGAGTTTCAGGAAGATGGAACAGGAGTCTCATTCTTCTAGGCCAGGAGCGGTGGCTCACACCTTAACCCTAACACTCTGGGAGGTCGAGGTGTGTGGATCACCTGAGTTCAGGACTTCGAATCCAGCCCGACCCCATCTCTAAAAATAGAAGGGTACTGTGGTGGGAGCCAGTAGTCCCAGCTACTCGGAAGGCTGAGCCAAGAGAATTGCTTGAGCCCAAGAGTTTGAGGTTGCTGTGAGCTGTGAGGCCATGGCACTCTATCAAGGGCAACAAAGTAAGACTCTGTCTTTAAAGCTCTAAAGAAAAAAAAAAAGAATCTTATTCTTTTGGTTTCTAGGTCAGAGCCTTTCTCATTACTTCCTGCTGCCAGATGTATAGGTTGATAAGCAGCATCCCATGGCTGACACCCTATCAAATTATTGTCCTTTCATGAAGGGTAAAGATTGCAAAGGGTCTGTCTCCTCAAACTCAGTTCTCTCCATTGGCCATACCCATGGATGTCACCAGATACCCTTATTTTTGTACGTACCTTTAGTTAGGAGCAGTTTCAGGAAGTCCTCTCTTTGAATAGCCTTTTTTCCTTTTGAATTGGTATAACCAAGAACATTAAAGCTCTCTTGGACGCCACTCATGGTGTTACCAAAAGGTGGCCTATGATTAACATAAACTTTGAGGAAATCTGGTAAGTTGATTTTGTCAATTAGCTTTCCCGTTTCCACGTACTCACTAAATTTGATTTCGTTAAACATATCATCAATCTAGGGAAAAGATTTTTTAAAAAGACTGAAGTCAACAGAAAAATACTCACATATACTTCTAAAAATTGGAGAGTAACAGAAAAACATTCACAATTAGCGTAGAACATGTCTGTTACATATTGACTTGTGTCCTCCAGGATATAGGACAGGACCTCCAGGACCTCAGAATATTACCCTGTTGGAAATAGGATCATTCCAAATATAATTTGTTAAGGAGTGGTCACATTGGGTGGAGCTTGTGGTTCTGTGGGTAGAGCACTGGCCTCATATACCAAGGATGGCAGGTTCAAACCCAGCCCCAGCCAAACTGCAACAAAAAAATAGCTGGGCATTGTGGTGGGCATCTGTAGTCCCAGGTACTCAGGAGGCTGAAGCAAGAGAATCACCTAAGCCCAGGGGTTAGAGCTGTATCTCCTGCCAGCTGTATCTGAGCTGTGATGCTATAGCACTCTATTGAGAGTGACAAAGTGAGACTCTGTCTCTACAAAAAAAAAAAAAAAGTGGTCATATCGATTGAAGTAGCTTGGGCCTCCAGTATGACTGGTGTCCTCATAAGAAGAGGAGAGAAACGCACAGGGAGAAGATAGCCACGTGAGGCAGAGGTCCGAGTGATATGGCTTTAAGCCAAGGAATTCCAAGAACTGCTGGCAACCACCAGAAGCTAGAAGAGGCAAAGAAAGATTCCCCCCAGCAGGGTCACATGGCCTGTTAAGACCATAATTTTGGCCAGGCGCAGTGGCTCATGCCTGTAATCTTAGCACTCTGGGAGGCTGAGGCAGATAGATTGTGTGAGCTAACAAGTTTGAGACCAGCCTAAGCAAAAGCGAGACCCCGTCTCTACTAAAAATAGAAAACATGAGGCAAGAGGATCACTTGAGCCCAAGAGTTGGAGGTTACTTTGAGCTATGATGCTACAGTACTCTACCCAGGGCAACAAAAAAGCCCTTAATTTTGAACTTTTGTGAAAGAATAAATTTCTGTGACTTTAAGTCATCTAGTTTGTGGTACTCTGTTATGGCAGCCCTAAGACAGTGTCGAACTCATCAACACTGGCATGAATACAATATAAGCACAAGCACTGTCACCAACAGTGTTTCATTCTATTCTTATATCTAAGGACCTTACACCTAAGGACCTAACAGTGTATCAACTACTTCCTCACCTATGAAGCAGATATTAGTTTCATTTTAGAACAGAATCATCAAGAATTTAGGAATTAGGCTCGGTGCCTGTGGCTCAAGTGGCTAAGGCGCCAGCCACATATACCTAAGGCGGCGGGTTCAAATCCAGCCTGGGCCTGCCAAACAACAATGATGGCTGCAACCAAAAAAAATAGCCAGGCGTTGTGGTGGGCGCTTGTGGTCCCAGCTACTTGGGAGGCGGAGGCAGGAGACTCGCTTGAGCCCAGGAGTTGGAGGTTGCTGTGAGCTGTGATGCCACAGCACTCTACCCAGGGGCACAGCTTGCGGCTCTGTCTCAAAAAAAAAAAGAAGAATTTAGGAATTAGGAGGTGTCTGTAGCTCAGTGGGTAGGGTGCAGGCCACATACACCAAGGCTGGTGGGTTCAAACCCAGCCCAGGCCAGCTAAAACAACAATGAACTGCAACAACAACAACAACAAAACAGCCAGTCATTGTGGTGGGCACCTGTAGTTCCAGCTACTCAGGAGGCTGAGGCAAGAGAATCACCTAAGCCCACGAGCTGGAGTTGCTGTGAGCTGTGATGCCATGGCACTCTACCAAGGGCAACAAAGTGAGACTCTGTCTCCAAAAAAAAAAAAAAAAAAAGAGATGAGGTCTTGCTATGTCATCTAGGCTGCTTATAGCCCTCACTATAGCCTGAAACTCTTGGGATCAAGTGATCTTCCTGCCTCTGTATCTCAGATATCTGGGATTACAGGTAAGTCACCATTGCATTGGGCTGGAAAACTTAATATTGTTACGATGCTCTCCAGATCTACAGATTCAACCTAAACCCTATCAAAATCCCAATTGGCTGTTTTTCAAGCTGGGACTGAGTACAATGGCTCACTCCTGTAATCCTAGCACTCTGGGAGGCTGAGGCAGGTGGATTGCCTGAGCTCATGGGTTCAAGACCAGCTGGAGCCAGAGAGAAACCCCACATATAAAATAGCCAAGCATTGTGGTAGGCACCTTTAGTCCTAGCTACTCATAAGGCTGAGGCAAGAGGATAGCTTAAGCCCAAGAGTTTGAGGTTGCTGTAAGCTGTGACATCATAGCACTCTATGCAGGGTGACAAAGTGAGACTCTGGCTAAAGAAAAAAAAAAGTTCAAGCTGGTTTTAAAATTCAAATTGCAAGGTAAAAAGAATACCCAGGCCAGGTGGGGTGGCTCATGCCTTTAATCCTAGCACCTTGGGAGGCTGAAGTAGAAGGCTCATTTGAGCCTAGGAGTTGATGCCACTGCCCTCCTCTATGTTGGGTGACAGAGCAAGACTCTATCCAAAAAAAAAAAAGCATAGCCAAGATAATTTTGAAAAAGAACAAAGTTGAAGAACTCACACTTGCCAATTTCAAAACTTAACTACAAAGCTGCAGTAATCTAGACAGAGTGGTTCTGACAAAAAGATAAATAGTTCAATGAAACAGTATTAAGAGTCCAGATATAAACCCTCACTTTTATTATGTATTGATTTTTGACAAGGATGTCAAGTGAACTCAGTAAGGAAAGATAGTCATTTCATCAAATGATGCTGAGACAACTGGACATCCGCATGTAACATGTGGACTCCCTTCCTTACATCACATATAAAAGTTAACTCCAAATGAGTTAAGCTTAAACTATAGATGTATAGATGTATAAGCTTGAACTATAAAATACAACTATTAAACTATAAAACTCTCAGAAGAACACATAGGCATAAATCTCTGTGACTTAGTATTAGGAAAAGTTTTCCTAGATATGACACCACAAAGCACAAAGTGACAAAAGAAAAATTGAAAGAAAATTGGACTTCGTCAAAATTAAAAACTTTTGTGCTTCAAAGGACACCATCAAGGGCAGCACCTGTGGCTCAAAGGAGTAGGGCGCCAGCCCTATATGCTGGAGGTGGCGGGTTCAAACCCAGACCTGGCCAAAAAAAAAAAAAAAAAAGACAACATTGAGAAAGTGAAAAGACATACTACAGAAAGGGAGAAAATACTTGTAGATCATATATATGTTAAGAGATTTGTATCCAGAAAACACAAAGAAAATTTTTGCAAACTCAATGACAAAGAGACAAACCAATTAAAAAGTGGGCAAATGATTTGAATAGATATTTCTGCAAGAAGCTTTATGAATGGTCAGTAAGCACATGAAAAAATGCTCAAATCAGCAACTGGGGAAATACAAATCCAAACAACAACGAGATACCACTTCCTATCACCAGGATGCCTAAAACTGGAAAGACACACACTAATAAACACGTGAGGATGTGGAGAAATCGAAACTCCGATATGCTGCTGGTAGGAATGTAAAATGGTGCAGCTGCCATGGAAAACAGTTTGGCCACAAGAGATCAAGCATAGCGTCTCCATGTGACTCAGTAATTTCTCACCTAGGTATATGCCTAAGAGAAGTGAAACATATATTCTCACAAAAACTTGTACACAAATAGCCACAACAGCATTATAATAAGGCTGTGAAGTGAAAAATATCCAAAGGTCTATCAGCTGAGAAGTGGCCAAATTAAAGGTGGTCTACTCATACAATGGGATATTATTCAGCCATAAGAAGGAACAAACTACTGATACATGCTATGATGCGGACAAGCCTGGAAAACACTACAGTAAATGAATAAAGCCACTCACTAATCCAAACTAGACAAAAACCATAACATAAGGCTGGGCGCGGTGGCTCATGCCTATAATTCCAGCACTCTGGGAGGCCAAAGCAAGTGGATTACCTGAGCTCACAGGTTCAAGACCAGCCTGAGCCACAGGAAGACCTCATCTCTAAAAATAGCCAGGTGTTGTGGCGGGAGCTTGTAGTTCCAGCTACCTGGAAGGCTGAAGCAAGAGAATCGCTTATGCCCAAGAGTTTGCTGTGACACCACAGCACTCTACCTAGGGCGACAAACAAACAAACCAAAAAACCACCCCACAACATACTATAGCTTCTATTCATGAAATACCCAGGGTAGGCAAGTCCACAGGGCTAGAAAATGATTAATTAGTGATTGGCTATGGCTGGAAAGGTGGAGTTTGGGAGAAATAGGGAGTAACTGCTAATGGGTATGGGGTTTCTCTTTTGCATAGTGAAAATATAAAAGTGGATCATGGTGATGGTTGCACAATACTGTGAATAAGCTAAAATCCATTGAAATATACATATATGCTTTGAAACAGCAAATTGTATGGTTGGTGAATTCTATCTCAATAAAGTTTTTGTTTTTCTTTTTTTTATAGGACTAAAGAAGAAAAGCACCAATACCTTTGTGTTCACTCCCATGCTTCTTCCCTTTGCCATCTTACTCCCTCCGTCCCAGGCAATCACTATCTGAATTCTCCATTTGTCACTACTTCCCCATTTTGTGTAGTTTCATTACATGTGTACGTATCCCTAACCCACAGATTGTTTCCTTTTGTTTCAAAGATTTTTTGAAAAGGCGATCATTTTAGACCCAGGCACTTGCTCTCAAGTTGTCACCTGTACAGTTACAGGATATAACTCATTTCATTTCATTCACTTTCAGACTTCTGTCACTTAGATTCATGCATCTGTATGAAGAGGAAAGAAAATGTGATGATATTTTGCTCTAAGAACTTTAAAATATTCCCTAGGGACTACATTAGGCCACCTCACCATAGTTCACAAACAGTATCTGATTAGGGATAAAAGAAAGTTGTAACTTGGGACAGTGCCTGTGGCTCAAAGGAGTAGGGGGTGCTGGCCCCATATACCAGAGGTGGCGGGTTCAAACCCAGCCCCGGTCAAAAACTGCCAAAAAAAAAAAAAAAAAAAAAAAGAAAGATAGAAAGCTGTAACTCCAAGTTCCTA